GTCGAAACTCTCTCGGAAACTGATGATAATAATAATTAATAATCATAATATTAATATTTATTATTATTTATTATTAACGATAATAATAATAATAATAATAATAATAATAATAATAAATAATAATAATTATAATAATAATAATAATAATAATAATAATAATAATAATAATAATAATAATAATAATAATAATAATAATAATAATAATAATAATAATAATAATAATAATATCAGTAGTAATTACAATAATAATAACAGTAATAATAATAATACTGAAAAAAAATATTACTATGTCACAAAATAAGCAGCCAGTTAGAGGCCAAAGATATGTAAACACTGGCTTACGTCACAAGGCCAACAGCCAATCAGACGCCAAAGACATGTAAACATTGGAAATGACGTCACATGACAAACAGCCAATTACAGACCAAAGATATGTAAACACTGACCTACGTCACAAGGCCAACAGCCAATCAAAGGCCAGAGATAAGTACTCGCCTACCCCTTAACACCTTGTACATACATGCACTGACTTTCTCTCTGAGGTATAATATGTGGATATAGTATTATTTATAATATAGAATATGAGGGTGGGTAGCTGGACCTCAGTAAAGCCTTAGATGGAGTACCACACACGATACTGCTGAAGAAAGTAGCGCCACATGATACTTGAGGACAGATTACTTCCTGGGTCGAGACATGGTTGACTGACAGGAATGAGATTATCTCCTGGGTCGAGACATGGCTGACTGATGAGAGAGATTGTCTCCTGGGTAGAGACATGGTTGACTGATAGACAACAGAGACTGTTGACATTAATGGGGAGAAATCAGAATTGTGAGTTGTTAGCAGCAGTGTGCCACAAGGGTCGATGTCGGCACCCATCTTGTTCAGTCTTCATAAACAACAGCGCAGAAGTGTTTACAATAAAGTTAATGTATTCCATGGTTTTATATCAAGAAGTATAAAATTACAGGAGTCCTCAGTTCATTCTTCAACTTTATATATTCTTGGTTAGGTCTAATTTAGAATACGTTGCACAGTTCTGGTCAGCTGTATAGCTGTGTCAATTATACAGAGAAAGGTAACAAAGTTGATCCCATGTATGAGAAATCTTTCCTAGGAGGATAGACTGAGGACACTGTCTATCCTACGATAATAGACTGAGAACACTAGCTATCCTACGAGGATAGACTGAGAACACTGTCTATCCTACGAGGATAGACTGAGAACACTGTTTGTCCTACGAGGATAGACCGAGGGCACTGTCTATCCTACGAGGATAGACGAGAGCAGTCTGTCCGTCTGTCCTACAAGGATAGACTGAGAACACTATCTTACGAGGATAGACTGAGAGTACTTAACGTGCACTCTCTAGTAAACATAATAATTAGATGAGACATAACTGAACAAATGGAGTATATAAAGGAGAAATAAACAAAATATTGAAAATATCAGACTAGGACAGGACTCCCCAGATGAGGAATTATAAACATATGCAACATCTGAGTATCTTTATGTGTAGACGTTTCGCCAACCAGTGGCTTTATCAATACAATACAAGGACTTAATGTAAAGACCGTAGAACTGTATACAAAGGCTGAGGTAATCAGTCCCTCAGCCTTGGAGTTGGTGAAGAGCACCGAAGTTTTGAAAAATCTTGTAAGGTTTGTCAGGAAACATGACAAGTGTTTCCTGATGCTGTTGGTCATCAGACCGAGGCCTTCCGCTGGCTTACCGGTCCACCCCTTTAAAACTTATAGTTATAATGTCGCTTATATACTGGCGTCAGGTGAGGGACATGTAGCAGGCGAAGACATTGTCACTGGTAGCCGGGATGTCTCAGTCGTCATACCCGAGGGATGGACAAGTTGTGGATATGTCCTCGGTACCAAGACCCCAGCAGTGGTTGTGGATATGTCCTCGGTACCAAGACCCCAGCAATGGTTGTGGATATGTCCTCGGTACCAAGACCCCAGCAGTGGTTGTGGATATGTCCTCTGTACCAAGACCCCAGCAGTGGTTGTGGATATGTCCTCTGTACCAAGACCCCAGCAGTGGTTGTGGATATGTCCTCGGTACCAAGACCCCAGCAGTGGTTGTGGATATGTCCTCGGTACCAAGACCCCAGCAGTGGTTGTGGATATGTCCTCTGTACCAAGACCCCAGCAGTGGTTGTGGATATGTCCTCGGTACCAAGACCCCAGCAATGGTTGTGGATATGTCCTCGGTACCAAGACCCCAGCAGTGGTTGTGGATATGTCCTCTGTACCAAGACTCCAGCAGTGGTTGTGGATATGTCCTCGGTACCAAGACCCCAGCAGTGGTTGTGGATATGTCCTCTGTACCAAGACTCCAGCAGTGGTTGTGGATATGTCCTCGGTACCAAGACCCCAGCAGTGGTTGTGGATATGTCCTCGGTACCAAGACTCCAGCAGTGGTTGTGGATATGTCCTCGGTACCAAGACCCCAGCAGTGGTTGTGGATATGTCCTCTGTACCAAGACTCCAGCAGTGGTTGTGGATATGTCCTCGGTACCAAGACCCCAGCAGTGGTTGTGGATATGTCCTCGGTACCAAGACCCCAGCAGTGGTTGTGGATATGTCCTCGGTACCAAGACTCCAGCAGTGGTTGTGGATATGTCCTCGGTACCAAGACCCCAGCAGTGGTTGTGGATATGTCCTCGGTACCAAGACCCCAGCAGTGGTTGTGGATATGTCCTCTGTACCAAGACCCCAGCAGTGGTTGTGGATATGTCCTCGGTACCAAGACCCCAGCAATGGTTGTGGATATGTCCTCGGTACCAAGACCCCAGCAGTGGTTGTGGATATGTCCTCTGTACCAAGACTCCAGCAGTGGTTGTGGATATGTCCTCGGTACCAAGACCCCAGCAGTGGTTGTGGATATGTCCTCGGTACCAAGACTCCAGCAGTGGTCGTGGATATGTCCTCGGTACCAAGACCCCAGCAGTGGTTGTGGATATGTCCTCTGTACCAAGACTCCAGCAGTGGTTGTGGATATGTCCTCGGTACCAAGACCCCAGCAGTGGTTGTGGATATGTCCTCGGTACCAAGACCCCAGCAGTGGTTGTGGATATGTCCTCGGTACCAAGACTCCAGCAGTGGTTGTGGATATGTCCTCGGTACCAAGACCCCAGCAGTGGTTGTGGATATGTCCTCTGTACCAAGACTCCAGCAGTGGTTGTGGATATGTCCTCTGTACCAAAACTCCAGCAGTGGTTGTGGATATGTCCTCGGTACCAAGACCCCAGCAGTGGTTGTGGATATGTCCTCGGTACCAAGACCCCAGCAGTGGTTGTGGATATGTCCTCGGTACCAAGACTCCAGCAGTGGTTGTGGATATGTCCTCGGTACCAAGACCCCAGCAGTGGTTGTGGATATGTCCTCGGTACCAAGACCCCAGCAGTGGTTGTGGATATGTCCTCTGTACCAAGACCCCAGCAGTGGTTGTGGATATGTCCTCGGTACCAAGACCCCAGCAATGGTTGTGGATATGTCCTCGGTACCAAGACCCCAGCAGTGGTTGTGGATATGTCCTCTGTACCAAGACTCCAGCAGTGGTTGTGGATATGTCCTCGGTACCAAGACCCCAGCAGTGGTTGTGGATATGTCCTCGGTACCAAGACTCCAGCAGTGGTTGTGGATATGTCCTCGGTACCAAGACCCCAGCAGTGGTTGTGGATATGTCCTCTGTACCAAGACTCCAGCAGTGGTTGTGGATATGTCCTCGGTACCAAGACCCCAGCAGTGGTTGTGGATATGTCCTCGGTACCAAGACCCCAGCAGTGGTTGTGGATATGTCCTCGGTACCAAGACTCCAGCAGTGGTTGTGGATATGTCCTCGGTACCAAGACCCCAGCAGTGGTTGTGGATATGTCCTCTGTACCAAGACTCCAGCAGTGGTTGTGGATATGTCCTCTGTACCAAGACTCCAGCAGTGGTTGTGGATATGTCCTCTGTACCAAGACTCCAGCAGTGGTTGTGGATATGTCCTCGGTACCAAGACCCCAGCAGTGGTTGTGGATATGTCCTCGGTACCAAGACCCCAGCAGTGGTTGTGGATATGTCCTCGGTACCAAGACTCCAGCAGTGGTTGTGGATATGTCCTCGGTACCAAGACTCCAGCAGTGGTTGTGGATATGTCCTCGGTACCAAGACCCCAGCAGTGGTTGTGGATATGTCCTCTGTACCAAGACCCCAGCAGTGGTTGTGGATATGTCCTCGGTACCAAGACTCCAGCAGTGGTTGTGGATATGTCCTCGGTACCAAGACCCCAGCAGTGGTTGTGGATATGTCCTCTGTACCAAGACCCCAGCAGTGGTTGTGGATATGTCCTCTGTACCAAGACCCCAGCAGTGGTTGTGGATATGTCCTCTGTACCAAGACCCCAGCAGTGGTTGTGGATATGTCCTCGGTACCAAGACCCCAGCAGTGGTTGTGGATATGTCCTCTGTACCAAGACTCCAGCAGTGGTTGTGGATATGTCCTCGGTACCAAGACTCCAGCAGTGGTTGTGGATATGTCCTCTGTACCAAGACTCCAGCAGTGGTTGTGGATATGTCCTCTGTACCAAGACTCCAGCAGTGGTTGTGGATATGTCCTCGGTACCAAGACTCCAGCAGTGGTTGTGGATATGTCCTCGGTACCAAGACTCCAGCAGTGGTTGTGGATATGTCCTCGGTACCAAGACTCCAGCAGTGGTTGTGGATATGTCCTCGGTACCAAGACTCCAGCAGTGGTTGTGGATATGTCCTCGGTACCAAGACCCCAGCAGTGGTTGTGGATATGTCCTCTGTACCAAGACCCCAGCAGTGGTTGTGGATATGTCCTCGGTACCAAGACTCCAGCAGTGGTTGTGGATATGTCCTCGGTACCAAGACCCCAGCAGTGGTTGTGGATATGTCCTCTGTACCAAGACCCCAGCAGTGGTTGTGGATATGTCCTCTGTACCAAGACCCCAGCAGTGGTTGTGGATATGTCCTCTGTACCAAGACCCCAGCAGTGGTTGTGGATATGTCCTCGGTACCAAGACCCCAGCAGTGGTTGTGGATATGTCCTCTGTACCAAGACTCCAGCAGTGGTTGTGGATATGTCCTCTGTACCAAGACTCCAGCAGTGGTTGTGGATATGTCCTCTGTACCAAGACTCCAGCAGTCGTCCAAGTTGGAACAGACAATACAGATTTAGACAGTACAAGGAGAACAGCTTGTGTTGTGGTAGAGTTATGGTTGAGTGGAACAAACTCTCGAGTACTGTTACTGATGTGATAAGTAGGTGAGTAGGTGTGAGTTAGACCTGCCTAGCCTGGGCCAGCAGGCCTGCTGCGCAGTTCCTTCAGTCTTGGGTTCCTAAAAGTTAATATCCTTCTAATTGTAAATGCATATCTTGTTGCTTTCAGAGTGCTTCCCCTTTCCCACCCTTTTCCCACCCATTTTCCACCCCCTTCCCACCCTTTTCCCCCCCTTTCCCAACTCTATACCCCCCAGTACGTACCTACAAAGGGCACGAGACCCTCCTGCTCGTGCGTGATGGTCTCCTGGCCGGTGCACGCCCTGCGTCCTGGCGGCAACGGGTTTCTGAACGTGCAGTTGAAGTGTTGTGTCCAGAACTCCTTAAACCAGACGTTTCGGCAGTTTCGCTCGTGGTCGTCACCTGGTCCGGTTACGGCGCATGGTTTCCCCCTAACACGGGGTCGCAGGCCACGTAGATAAGTGTCGAACCCTGTGGCAGTGGCAGGAGGAGAAGAGAGGTGAGACACGACATGGATGTAGGTGATACATCCTCCAATCTCCTGTCTATCCTCCTCCACCGACTATTCTCACTAACTACTCTCTACTAATATTGATATATTATCTTCCCCTCTCCCTCTCCCCTTCTTTATTTCTCTTCTCTTCATTTCAATTTATTTTTCTCCCCTCTCTCTCTCTCTCTCTCTCCCTCCCCAGGCTACCCTGGGTTCTTGCTAGGTCCCCAGGCTACCCTGGGTGCTTGCTAGGTCCGCAGGCTACCCTGGGTTCTTGCTAGGTCCCCAGGCTACCCTGGGTTTTTGCTAGGACCCGAGGCTACCCTGGGTTCTTGCTAAGACCTCAGGCTACCCTGGGTTCTTGCTAGGTCCCCAGGCTACCCTGGGTTCTTGCTAAGACCCCAGGCTACCCTGGGTTTTTGCTAGGACCCGAGGCTACCCTGGGTTCTTGCTAAGTCCCCAGGCTACAATGGGTTTTTGCTAGGTCCCCAGGCTACCCGGGGTTCTTGCTAGGACCCCAGGCTACCCTTTGTTCTTGCTAGATCCCCAGTCTACCCGGGGTTCTTGCTAGGTCCCCAGTCTACCCGGGGTTCTTGCTAGGATCCCAGGCTACCCAGGGTTCTTGCTAGGTCTGCAGGCTACCCTGGATTCTTGCTAAAACCCCAGGCTACCCTGGGTTTTTGCTAGGACCCCAGGCTACCCGGGGTTCTTGCTAGGACCCCAGGCTACCCTGGGTTTTTGCTAGGTCCCCAGGCTACCCGGGGTTCTTGCTAGGACCCCAGGCTACCCTGGGGTTCTTGCTAGGTCCCCAGACTACCCTGGGTTCTTGCTAGGACCCCAGGCTATCCTGGGTTCTTGCTAGGACCCCAGGCTACCCTGCGTTCTTGCTAGGTCCCCAGGCTACTCTGGGTTCTTGCTAAGACCCCAGGCTACCCTGGGTTCTTGCTAAGACCCCAGGCTAACCTGGGAATTTGCTAGGACCCCAGGCTACCCTGAGTTCTTGCTAGGTCCCCAGGCTACCCTGGGTTCTTGCTAAGACCCCAGGCTACCCTTGGTTCTTGCTAAGACCCCAGGCTACCCGGGGTTCTTGCTAGGACCCCAGGCTACCCTGGGTTCTTGCTAGAACCCGAGGCTACCCTGGGTTCTTGCTAGGACTCCAGACTACCCGGGGTTTTGCTAGGTCCCCAGGCTACCCGGGGATCTTGCTAGGACCCCAGGCTACCCTGAGTTCTTGCTAGGCCCCCAGGCTACCCTGGGTTCTTGCTAAGACCCCAGGCTACCCTTGGTTCTTGCTAAGACCCCAGGCTCCCCGGGGTTCTTGCTAGGACCCCAGGCTACCCTGGGTTCTTGCTAGGACCCGAGGCTACCCTGGGTTTTTGCTAGGACCCCAGACTACCCGGGTTTTTTCCTAGATCCCCAGGCTACCCGGGGTTCTTGCTAGGACCCCAGGCTACCCTGGGTTCTTGCTAGGACCCAGGCTACCCGGGGTTTTTGCTAGGTCTCCAGGCTATCCTGGGTTCTTGCTAGGACCCCAGGCTACCTCGAAGGGTTGTAGCCAAGACCCCAGGAAGATAATAACTCTGACCTTCTAGTGATGATCGCTGGGGTAGTATGGTTATGGCCCCCAGGGCAGCCTCCTCCTGGTCCCTCACGGGGTGGATCTTGGCACCCCAGGAGTCACTGCCCACCCATAGGAACTGACCCGCCTTACCCGCCTTCACTGCTGCGGCTAGCACTCGT